GGTGAGTTTCCAAATCTACTACTACTGTGGGAACTGCAGCCCACTCCCCATGGACGCTCTGGGGAAAGGTGAAGAACATGCAACCCAGCAGGGTTGGAGTGAGGAGCTGGGCTATTTTGTGGTCCAGGGAGAGATGGTCTTGAGCCTGGACAGAGCATCCTGCCTCAGATTTGGAGAAAGCCCTCAGGCAAAGAGATGCAGACAGGGCAGGACTCCGGGTGAGTTGGGGGGGGGGGGAGGGGTAGCAACCAGTGAGGTGCCAGGGCACATGCTTTAGAGAGGTGATTGCTCTCAGAGTCAGGAAGGTGCAGGGTCAACAGCTGAGGCCAAGCAGCCCCTGGAATGTCACATCCTGGGTGTCGCCTGCCTTACCCTAGTTGCATCCTTAGATGCCAGTGGGTGTTACTGAAACTAGAGAGAAAGGGGCAGGGCACTATCTTTAAAAGGACATACCCTGAGGACATAACATAAACTGATTAGCACCAAACAAGTCCAAGATGACTTGCTCTCCACTAGACCCTCCTTTCAGTTCAGTTGTTCAGTCGTGTCCAACTCTTTATGACCCCATGGACAGCAGCACGCCAGGCTTCCCTGTCCATCACCAACTCCCAGAGATTGCTCAAACTTATGTCCATTGAGTCAGTGATGTCATCCAACCATCTCATCCTCTGTCGTCCCCCTCTCCTCCTGCCTTCAATCTTGCCCAGCATCAGGGGCTTTTCAAATGAGTCAGTTCTTCGCTCTAGGTGGCCAAAGTATTGGAGCTTCAGCTTCAGCATCAGTCCTTCCATGAATATTTAGGACTGATTTCCTTTAGGATTGACTCCTTGGATCTCCCTGTCCAAGGGACTCTCAAGAGTCTTTTCCAACACCACAGTTCAAAAGCATCAATTCTTTGGCGCTCAGCTTTCCTTATGGTCCAACTGTCACATCCATACATGACTACTGGAAAAACCACAGCTTTGACTATACAGACCTTTGTCAGTAAAATAATATCTGTGCTTTTTAATATGCTGTCCACTAGACCCTGAGCCTCAGTATATGCTCATTGTAATGCACTAGCAAGCTAAACGACACACCCACAGGTGCCATAATAGTTCCAAGGCCAACCATAAAGACCAAAAAGGGGCTGGTGGCCCAATTCCTGGAAATCTCTGCCCATTCATCCAAATAGTTGGAATAATCCTCCCACTCACTGGCCGATAAAACTATCCAGCCCACTAAAACTGACCATACCATATTTTCATACCGCTTTCACCTTCTGAGATGGCCCATACTCTGTGAAGTGTGTTTCTTTCTAAATAAATTCACTTTTTCACCTATCACTTTGTCTCTCACTGAATTCTTTCTGTGATGAGACATCAAGAACCTGAGCTTCATTAAGTCCTGAGACGAGGTGTGTGATCTCAAATAAGAGAATGTGAGTTATACGGCTTCATTACAAGGAGGCAGTGGGACTGTGGGTGTGGATGGGACGCTGACAGCGTCTCCTATCCCCTTTCCATGGAATTTAATTCCCTTCACTGTTCTCCTTGCTCCTGGGATCCTGCCTTCTCAGACGTGGGATCCTGGAAGGGACAAGAGTATCAGCTCTCCTTCCCTTCTGCCGACTCTCCACCCTCTTCGTACAGGCTCATTATGTCTTCCTTGCTGGAATATCACTGCTCCTAGAGTTATCCTGATTCAGCCTTCCTCCATCCATCCTTTCTGGGTGTTCTCCATTTTGAGCAGGGGAGGGGAGAGCTAGAAGGGAGAGACCCATGGCTCAAGGCCTTCGGGGTCTTATGGGGAATCTGTGAGTTCCAACACTCAGTCCTGTCTACCGAGCACCAGTCGTAAGTCAGGTGTGGGGCCACAGAAGTGCAAGATGGCTCTGGCCCTGCTATCCCAGGACATCGGTTCCAGTGAGGAGACCAGGCAGCCAACAGATGGCCATCCACGTGCTTGCAAATCACAATAGCATGGAGAACTAAGAAGACACGCATTGTGCTCTTGGAGTGAATAATGGGGTTTTGGCTGAATTATAATGGTCAGAATTCCCCAAGGAAGTGGTACCTGAGTAAAGATCTGAAGAATGAGGGGAACTTAGCAAAGAGAGACGGAGAAGGCAATGGCACCCTAGTCCAGTACTCTTGCCTGGAAAATCCCATGGATGGAGGAGCCTGGTAGGCTGCAGTCCATGGGGTTGCTAAGAGTTGGGCACGACTGAGCGACTTCACTTTCACTTCTCACTTTCATGCATTGGAGAAGGAAATGGCAACCCACTCCAGTGTTCTTGCCTGGAGAATCTCAGGGACAGGAGAGCCTGGTGGGCTGCCGTCTACGGGGTCGCACAGAGTTGGACACGACTGAAGTGACTTAGCAGCAGCAAAGAGAGAAGGCAAGGGCATGTTGATAGAGCAAAGAGGACGTGCAAAGGCCCTGTGTCATGGATGAGTGTGGAAAGTTCAAGGTACTGAATGAAGGGCAGTGGGGCTTAACTGAGGAGACTGCGGTGGGGAGAACACCACAGTGAGGCTGAGCAATGAGACGGAGAGAGGCCCGAGGCCTTTGGATAAGAAAGGCTCAACACTGAAGGGAGCCCTTTGAAGGGTTTTCTGTAGACAGTGACATGATCTGACTCGTATTTTGAGGAGGTCCCTCTGGCTTCTGTTAGAGATAGGCATAAAGCTGGGGGCCAAACTAGATGTGGAACCACCAGGAAGAAGGAAGGCAGAGGCCAAATGAGAGTGGACCATGGCTCGGGCAATGATGCTGAGCAGAGGGTGGGCACTGGGAGGTCCGGAAAGATATGAAACTTCCCGTCCTTGGCCCCTGAGGCTTTGGACCATAAACCTGTCCTAACCTGGATACTCTTGTCTCTCAGGGAGGCAGGGTCTCTTTACTGTGCTCTAGTCATTACTTTTTTTCTATTATTATTTTCCATTATAATATTTCATCATTATACCCATTTTACAGAGAAAAGACTGAGGCTTAGAGCAAGCACACAGTCTTACAGCCTATAATTTAGTGGACTCCATCTGAACTCACCATCTAGTAGGAGGAAGGGACCAATGACCAAATATTTTAAGGCCCGAGTATGCATGGCTCTAGAGCACAGAATGGTCAGAGCCAGCAGAACCTGGACCCAGAATATGCGCTCCCTGGCCTCAGAGGGCCTGGCTCAGAGAACCACACATCTTAGGTCTTAATACACATTTCCTGAGCGCGTGAACGTCTCTTTCCAACACTTCATTTGCAGGAAATCTCGCTGTCTGCCTTACTCTCTTCCAAGAGACAAATTATAAATGCTTTTCTGATTAGTTCTCCCATTCACAGTCGATTTCTGAATCAGCACAGGAAACAGCTAAGTTAAAACTTCTGCCTCTTTCTTCCTTCACAAGCTGCCTGCATCTTATGCTTTCTTCCTCCAAGCTTTTTCTTAGGCAATGTCTAGACAGTCAAAGAAAACAAAACAAAACACTGAACTGTACTAGAAGTAACTTGTTATTCAAGAATTTTTTTTTTTTTTTTTTGGCTGAACTGGGTTACTCTGAGAATGGAGACCAAAGGATGCTTGTTACCCAGCTGATGAGATGTCAAAAGGTCCAGGCTGGCTGCACCACAGGAGGGGGGCTGTTGTAGATTCCTGTTCTAATCATAGTATATGCTCGCATTTTGTAAAGGAAACTTGGTCCTCTGCATTATGCTGTGCAGAAGGCTGTGCATAGCATTGATCATACCTGTCTCTCCCTCTCCTCCCAGCACTGACTATCAAGCAGGGTCCCATCCAAGTACTGTCACTGCCCTTGTTAGGGCCTCACTGTCCCTTGCTAGGACCACTGCAGTAGCCTCATGCACCCTCCCAAAGTGCTGCCCTGGTGATCTTCCCAAAATGGACATCTGATCATGCCTCTCTACCCCAACCCAGCTTATTCCACGTCCCCACGCGGGTATTCAGTGAATTTTGCTCACGATAAGAAGGGCTGGTGCATCCACACTGCTCATCAGTGATGCTGAGAGAGTAACTCTATGGCTAGGAGTAATGGTGCCAGGTACTGTGCCGAGGGTTTTACGTACCTTTCCCACCCCGCCCCAACCATCCTATCTTTACTCTTCTCCTCATTTTAAAGGCAAGAAAACTGAAGCTTAGAGAGGTCAGGTAACCAGCCCAAGGCCCCGTAGCGGGGAGAGAAGCCCAGGGCTTCAACTACTCTGTGCCAGTGTCTTCATCAAATCACGTGCTGTGACGGGGTGCCTCCAGGAATGCTGGAGCTCACTGCTGAGCAGAAGGCAATGTCCTTCCAGGCCTCCCACAGGTCCACACAAAACCAGCTTCCCTCCTGCAGGCCCAGAGTCACCCAGCGCCCACGCCGCCACAGACCCTGAGCGGCAGGTACTCGCGCCACTGCCGAGCTCTGCCCCCAGCAGCAGCAGTGGGGTCTGGCTGGAGTCAGGATGCCCTAAGCCCTGCCTCTTGTGTGAACGGGGTGGCCCTGGGCTCCTCTGAATCCTGAGCTGGCCGCTTCCCAAACCTTCAGGCTTAGGCTCACAGTTTCCTTCTAAGCATCAGTCCTTGCTTAGGACTCTACCTTCCTGGAGTAGCAGTATCTCTCACCGAGGGATTCTCAGCCTATCCCTCATAGGTAGACCTTGCTCTCCACCCAGCGTTGCTGCCATGATGGGATTCTGCATAGTGGGGGCCTGCTAGGAACACCCTTGCATCCGGGCTTCCTCCCCGACCTGAAGAATTCTTGAGTGGATAACACCAGACGAGACCCAAGCTTGAGAGATTTCCTGCATCCACTGTGCCTGGAGCCAGCTCCCTGGCCAGCCCCTCTGGCTGATATCATCCAGCCCAGCGATGACAGGGAGTCTGAGCCAGAGCTCCATGCCTAGCATGAGGACCCGAAATTGGAAACATCAAGGATTATCTGATAACAAATGCCAGATAAATAATAGTGATGGCCTCCTTAAGTCTAAGTCCCCAAAGCCTGCAGTTCTCCAAGAAGGTCACCTACAGGATATGATGTTGCCGTATCGATTCTTGTTGCGGTTTTCATCCTCTTTGGCTGTGTCCCACGAAGCTGTCTGTCCCTCTGGTAAGGCCTATAAAGAAAGGACAGAGTGATTAGAATGGCTTGAGGTAGGAGCTTTATCAGGGTATAGCTGAGCCAACGGGGAGACCCACTGTGATGGGTCATACAGTGTAAAAGCCTGTGTGTTCTTGGATGGGGCCTGGGGCGAACACAGACTTGGCCCCTCCCTCTCTTCTTCACCTGTTCACTGACTCAGATGTTATTGATATCTGTTATGTGTGAGATGAGATCAAATCTGGTCCAGGAGGAGAGTCATTTGTTTATTCATTCACTTGATGAGTATCTGAATCCCTAATACGTGCTGGGCACTATCCTAGGTACTCAGAATACAAAGAAATAGAGCCCCTTGGAGCTTCCAGTTGATTGGGAGACAGAGCAAAGGAACAAGGAAGCATATATAATTTTAAATAGTAGAACTGCCATGAAGAAAATAAAGTGGAGAAGAGGTTCAGTGGTGGGGGAATGAGAATTATTTCAGATTGCACAGTCTGGAATGGCTTCTCTGAGAAGGTGACATTTAAGCTAATTCCTTCCTGATATGAAAAAGGCAGTCATGCCAAGAGAAGTGGGGAGTGGTCCAGGCAGAAAGAACAGCAGATGCAAAGGTGGTAACCGAAGTTAAGGATGAGGTAGGGAAAGCAGTGACGAAAGCATCTGGAGAGGCGGGGAGAGTTCAGGCTCTATGAGGCATTGTGGTCGCTGGTAACAAGCTGAGTGTTATTCTGGGTGTGATGAGAAACCATTGGAGGGTTTCAAGCAGGGCAGTTAGCTGACTTGCTATGTTTTATAAAGCACATTCTGGCTCGTGTATGGAACGCAGACTCTAGGTGGCCCAGGGAGGAACCAGGGAGATCAGTTAGGAAGGTTTCGCAATAGTGCAGGCAAGAGATGAGGGTACCCTGGACCAAGGTGATGGGCATTGGATACAGTGAGAAGGGATTAATTTTAGGATGTTCAGTTGGATATTGCAGGTTTTTGTTTCCCCCCAGAGGCAGACTCAGAAACAAGGATTCTAGTATGAGATTTATTTGGGAGGTAAGCCTAAGGAACACAGTGGGCAGCAGGGGGAAGAGTCAGACAATCGAGGGAAGAAAGTCAGTAGAGGGTAGATCCATGAACAAGTAACCACTGCAACTGGGCTTAATCTCATGGGCCCATCTCGGGCCTCAGAGTTGTCCTCCCAGAGGGAGAAGGAAGTCGGGGTGCTCATCCGCAGGTTCCCATAAGTCACTGTTGAGGTCAGCTCTTAGGAAATCCCTTGGCACTTCTGTCATGCTCAGTAGGCAGGGTGTGCATATGCTTTTTTCTTGAGCAAGTCCTTAGGCAAAAAGACACAGGAGGCGGGCACTGGATAGGCATACATGGGACCAGTGAGTGGGGCGGAGGCAGGCAGGGTACCAACATGCCTACTTCAGACGTGGGTTATGATGGAGAGAGACAGGTGAAGGCTGGAAGAACTGAGTGGAGAGTCGCATCTTTTACTGCAATGGAGAAGAAACAGCTGGGGGGGAAACGGGTTTGGGGAAGCAGGAATTAAGTGTTGTGTTCCGGGTGTATAAAGTACTTAGAACCGTGCCTAGGCACTCGCTTCTGAACATGTTCCAAATAATAAGAACAGCGGCGGCAGAAGCCAAGTTTGAGATGATTAGTCAACATCCAAGCTGAGATGCTGACTAGGAAGTTGGATATGGAAGGTCAGAGTCAGAGGGAAGGCAGAGATGAGACTCATCAGTTTAAAAGAATAGGAACTTCCCTGGCGGCCCAGTGGTTAAGAATCTCCCTGCCAATGTAAAGGACATGGGTTTTATCCCTGCTCTGGGAAGATTCCATATGCCACAGGGCAACGAAGCCCATACACCACAATTATTGAGCCTGTGCTCTAGAGTTTGTGCCCTGTACCAAGAGATGCCGCAGCAATGAGCAGCTCGTGCACCACAACTAGAAGGCAGCCCCTGCCTGCCACAACTAGAGAAAGCCTTCATGCAGCAGTGAAGATCCAGTGCAGGAAAAAATAAACAAACACATGAATGAATTAAAAAGAGAAAGAGAGAGAGAAGACAGACAAGGAAAGAACCGCGTGAAGTGATTTAACAGAGTTACCAGCCAAGTCTCACGGAAACTCTGGGGAGGGTGCAGCCACTTACTTCACAGAGAAGAAAGATGGGCATTTCAGGGAGCAGGAACAGCTTTAGAAGCATTAATGCCAGAACACCTCCCGATTACTGCCCTTCTCCTGCCTCTGGAAGAACAAGCTGGCTGTCCTGCTCATTTGGCTTCTGCACTGCTTCTGAGACTGGATTTGTTACCTCCTCAGGCTACACAGCTCCCTGTCAGCAGGGCAGGGGAGAGAAGCTTCCAGTCGTCTGAATTCACCAGCCTTGACTGTGCCCACCTATTTCTTACCAGCTCTACATTCTAAGCAAGGAGGAGTCTGTGACCTGATTGGCCAGAAATCCAGCCACTCAGCAGGCGATGTTTTACAGGCAAGGAGGACCACTATCCCAAGCCCAGACCATTCAGGATGCCCCCTTTTCCGCTTCCAGTCTCCTACGTCTATTTCAAGCCAGCCTAGGTGGGTCTTTTCACAGAGCAGGAGTTGGCAAGCTTTTTCTATAGTGGGTCAGATAGTTGGCGGTATGGACTTAGTAAGTCCGGGAGTCTCCGTTCCAACTACTCAAACTCAACTCCGGTGTTGTGGAGTGAAAGTGAATGCAGTCACAGACACAGTGCAACCACACGGGCATGGCTGTGTTCCTCTAAAACTTGATTTACAAAAATAAATGCTGGGCTGGGTTCAGCCTGTGGCTGTAGTTTACTGAGCTTTATTCTAGAAGCATGACCATGTTCCTCAGCTAGGCAGTGGTTGGGGTAGACAGAATGGGTGTCCATTCTGTTACCAAGCCATTCCAGAGTGAATGGAGATGGGGTGAGAGGTGCTTGCCTGGGCTAAGCCATGTTCTCCAACTTAGCTTTGTGCAGGGTTTTAGACTGGGGTAACAGGGCACCTTCCCAGCTGTTACTTGATCAGAATGTAGTTCTCTGGGTGTCAGAAACCCTTTGCCTTGTACCCTGGAGAAGCAAACAGGCACAAGGCTCTATGCTACCTCTGAGTGTGAAAAAGAGCTAGGGAGATAAAAGAGCGCTCGTTCTGCAAGTGGAGGACGTGCGTCTCCTTTTCCTCCCCTTCATCCTCTACTTACTCCTCGTTGTAATTGACCATCACCCTGCATCCCTGTCATCAGCAGCACAGGCCATCCGTAGTCTGCAAACGGCTCCTACTTTTGCATGGGACTCTCAGCAGCCAGATTCCAGCCCTTGGCCTCATCCTCTCATCCCAGCCAGGTAGCTCCAGCTCTTTTAGGCAACTTGCCAGGCCTCTATATTCCTGGGTCTTTGTAGGGGTGGGGTGTGTTGCTCTCAGTCATAGCAATGGACTTCCTGATGTTTATCTAATTAATTACATCCACCCAAAGTGGTGTGAAACCAAGAACAGCCCCCTGTGAATGTTTTCATACTCTTTTTTTTTTTTTTTAATAAAAATCTGCTGAACACCTATTATGCGCCAGGGCTCAGGTTACAGTTAGCTTAAAGTTTCTTAATGGTTGAACATTAGAATTGTCTGTGGAAGCTTTAAAACTCCCAAAACTGTGGCCCTACCCCAGACCACTAAATCAGCGTCTAAGGGACACAGACATCAGTAGTATTTAAAACTCCCCGAGTGATTCTAATGTGCGGCCATGATTCTTGCCAATAGTGAATTTACCTGGAGAAACACTTTCCCACAAGTCTCCTCTGGCCTTGCTTTTGCCCCTTCCAATCCATTCTCCTGTATAATCAAAGAAATCTTTCTAAACTGTGAATAGGACCCAGTTAATCCCCCTGTCGCTGTCTTCAGGATAAATTCCAAACTCTTAAATACAAGGTCCTTAATGGTTTCACCCCATCTGCCCCTCCAATCTCATTGCTTATCCTTAAATCAATATATCAATGATTAGCAACTAAACACAATGCTACAGTCAATTTCAGGTGTTAGAAACTTCTGAGACTGACTAGATACACGCTGTTCCCTCAGCCTGAAATTTTCTCCCACCCGAGTCTGCCTGCTAAAACTCTTACATATCCTTCAACACCCGGTTCAAGCACCTTCTTTTTGTGAAACCTTCCTCACTTACCTTCCCACCATGCCACTGCGTCCCAGGTAGTCAGTTACTTCTGTTATTACACGGACTCTCTACATCTGATGATTTGAATCTCATCTTCCAGCCTGATGATGGGCTACTCTAGGTAAGTGGTAGCATCTTATTCACGATGGTATCTTCATAAACCAATGCTGACTTCATATCTCATATGTGCTTGAATCACCCCCTTTGAATAAACGAATGGATGGATAGATGGAACAAAAATAGTGGGTGAGGTGGGTGCTGGGCAGACAGAAGGCAAAGATCCTGGAATCTGAGAACTGGAGGTGACCTTTAAAATAAGTTGTCTGTGCTCCGACCTACAATGGGCTTCCAGGCAGCTGATAAAATGATCCCTAACATCTGCTATTTGGATGCCCTCAGTGATGGAGAGCTCACTACACACAAAAGCTTTCTGCTTCACTTTTGGACAGACCCACTGGGACTTTTCATTTACCCTGTTTCCATGTACTTTGCCTTTGCCCTGATCCATGGGGCCCCTCACATGCTCCCTCTGCACAGCGACACTGCAGAGGTTAATGAATGCCCCTGTCCACCTCTGGGTGGACACAGGCGTATGTCCACCTGGGGCCCGGGATGGCACAGTTTGGCAGTCGTTTCTATATCCAGGCCGTGCTCTTCAGGATAAACCCAGTGTGGCGATCTCCTCTGAACAATCCTAAATGGTCCTGATGAGCTGTGCTGAGCGGCACTTCTCCGTAGAGACCACACAGACTCCTGGCACAGCTCTGGGGGCCTCCATGTGGCCCCCGGTGGGGGATGAAGGAGAATGGGTGGGCCCGGGGGCTGGGATGATGTTGACAAAGGCAGA